CCAACCTCTCCCCACAGCCACACTCGGAGCCTGCGCCGCCAACTCCAGAGAGCATGTTTTAGTATAAATACTATATTTATTAAATATCTTTACAGTTCATTTAAATGTATTTACAGAACTATTCCTGCATAAGTTATACCTCAGACATGAAAGTCACGTAATTGCCTCTCAGGTAAGCATAGGTGATAGTCTCGTTTGAACAGCAACAAAAAGCAATCCTCAGGTACAGCCTCGCCTCGTTCGGCCCCCTCGGCAGAACTGCTGCATACAGTCACTCCACACACACCAGAGACACAGATCCCACCACTCCATCCCAGCTCTGCCAGACACAGCCTCTCCTTGACTCACTCCCAACCGCCTGGGCCCACATCTGGGCCAGGTTTGGTTTGCAGCCCAACCTCCCTCAGAACACAACTAGGGCCGTTCAGAGGGAACTGTGTGTCACAGCTCTCCCAAAGACAGCCAGGAAAGTAGCAGGAACCACAGAGCCTTCCCACGTCACCACAACTCAGCCCTGTTCCACCCCAACCCCTACTGCTGGACAAACCATCCCCTCCCAGCTCAGGAACAGTTCTCCTGGGCACTCCTCTGTGAACATTCCCCCAAACTGCTTTGTGCATCACTGGGAACTGTCTGGGTAGGACTGGGCCCTCTCATTTCCTTCTCCCCAAATCTGTTGTGCGCAGACAGCGTTAAGTTCATAGGAAAAAAAAATCAGGTTTGATATGTTCCGAGTGCAGAGGCTTAAAAAAACCCAAAACAATCAAGCGTGTGCTAAAAATATCGATTCTTTATAGTACAGTATTGCTTTATAAACAGATGGAAAAGCTAAAAGCTTCACTGGTCTTTGGTGTGTCTGGTGAGGGATAAACTCATGATCTGGAAATCGAATTTGTCCTTTATTTCGTCAGGACCCAGCTCGGGTGTGCTCTGGGCATGGACAGGGAGTGCGGGGCTCGTGCTGCTCTCTGCCCGGAATTCCAGCCGGATTCCAGCCCCCCTTCCCAGAATTCCAGCTGAATTCCAGCCCTATTCCAGCAGAGGGCACACGGAGGGCTGGGACAGCGCGCGGAGCCGGGCAGAGCAGCCCAGGGGAGCGGGGACAGAGGAATTGATCAGACCTGCTCTGCTGAGAAGCTGAGGAGAGTGAATTCTGGTGGCACAGACACCCACTGGGAGCGAGCCCAGGCAGAGCACAGGATCACATCCTGCTGGGCACAGTGCAGGGAACACATCCTGC